TGACGAAGCAAGAAGCCAACACATGTATCCATAGGTATATATCCATGTATATATTTGAATGATCCATTCCACTGATGAACAAGAAATGTGCCCCAAGAAATTATCTACATCGAAGTTTGGTAACACATTCAAAGATGATCACAATGAACAACAAGGTAATATGTAAAGAATATTTCTTTTGAAAACCACAAGTAAACAATCAAATTCTCCGTAGTCAGATTACTGGATTTACTCGAAGAAATATTGTTTAGCATTTTCAATAAACTCAAATCTACCGATACACTTTATTCCATGACTGGTATTAATATGCGACTCGGTCGACCAGTACACTACTATATAATAGCGTAACCAGAATATTGCTGATGGTAGGACTCGCGGAGGCTTTGTCTATTGGACATCGCCCAATGCAGATTTCATTCTTCCAAAATCACTGGTATTAGCTATCTGATGATGGAGCTCAATAGTTCGGTGAGGATACTCAGCTCTCCCGGATCAATGTTAGTTATGCTACTATTACTAATTCACATAAAAGATCCTCAATTGACACGATTTGATTGGTCTATCACTTATGTTGTATCATTGTTATACAGTGGCAGAACAAACCTATGTGTTTTCCATTCTAATTATTATTTTTATCATTCAAACTTCTACTTTAGTCAAGCTTAAAATCGTTAAAAAGAAATTTGAATAAATTCTCGATTAGTTGTGCAATTTTTGTTGGCGAAGATGTCTCTTAAACTATCAACAGTTATCTTTCATACATATGTTAAGAATCACATGTTAAAATTAGTTGGAACAAGAGAAAATATTAGTCAAAACTTTGCTCAACGTATTATTTATTTATGAACTAATAATTTTCGTTTAATACCATTTAAAAAGATTTGATTTTCTTGATAGCCGATACGCATAAGCAAATCTTGGTAAAATTCAACGATGATAATTATTATTGTTTCAATAAATGCTGATACATAGTTCTGTCAGTGGTTATATTAGTTGTTATGTCTAGGATGTGAAAGTATATTTTTTTGGTCTACCTTTGATATGAAATGATATATTATTCTGACTCCAATAATCATTCATTATCTTATTTTCTGATTGGTAGTATGCATGAAAGAGGGAGAGAGAAAGTCGTAAGAAATGATCAATTCAAACCGAATTCATAACGCAGAATTTGAAAGTATAGATGGCATTGGTTTCTTATTATCCTATTATATGAGTATCTTTCATTGGTGATCAAACTATGAGAAAAGAAGACGGTACACATGTGGTACTTGATTGATTTCTTTTTCATTTTTCACATCATCGACGATTGTTGAAAAGCACCCGAACGAATACAAGCCTCAAGCTGTCATGTTTTTACGTGCACCTTGCAAAATCAATTTAACATTGGATGTATTTGACAAGAAGGAACGCACTGATGGTTATCATAATCTTGATTCACTGGTTGTGCCGGCTGATGAACTGCACATTCACATGAAACCTGCTTCGGAGAGGACATCTATTATAATAACTTGTAATGATTCACATCTACCCGTTGACAATCGAAATTTAGCGTATCGAGCCGCTGATGCTTACCTTGCGTATATCAACAAACCATTTCATGTCAAAATCGATCTATACAAGCATATACCAACTGAAGCAGGCTTAGGTGGTGGAAGTAGTGATGCAACTGCAGTTTTACGAGCGTTAAATGCTTATTTTAATCAAGCAGTTGATCGATCAGCACTAACATTAATGGCAGCTCGTCTCAGCTCTGATGTACCATTATTTTTGGCAGAAAAAACAGTGCGTATGCGCGGGCGTGGTGATATTATTGAACTACTAGATTTTGAATTACCTGTGTTCTGAGGTGTCATTGTGCCTCCAGTAACAGGAGTGTCAACTGCACGTGCATATGCCCTTCTTGATGCAATGCCAAATCGACAACCTGGAACTAGTACTGAACGACTTCTTTCTCATCTACGTCACAAGAAACAAACGTCAATGAACGTTAGTGAGCTTTTAGCAATGGGTCTATCTAATGATTTTGAATCTGTTGTACTTGTTGCTTATCCTGATGTTGCTAGAGCATATGAAATGATTGTATCTGCAGGCGCTTTACGTGCTCTTTTATGTGGAAGTGGTTCGGCTATTTTTGGTCTCGCTCGAGACCTTCAACATGCTAATGAGTTAGTAGACACATTGGCTATTCATTTCTCTTCTATAACAATCGTTTCAAATGCCTCTAATGATGCATATCACATCAAACAGCTTTAACAAATTAAATATATTATTTTCTTCTAGATCAATCTTACTTGAGAAACGTACAGGTTACCTATTTCGATAGTACCTGTTTTTCTTTTTAACGTCCTTCCGTCAGACTCGTAATCAATATTTAAAAACAAAGGTATGTATCTAAACGTACTATTGTATTGTTTGCTTAATAAGTAGAATATTGACAGAATGACAAGCGACATCTTATCGTGGAATGGGAAAAAACAAATACTCTTGATGATATTGCTCTTGTAAATGTATGTGTAAAAAAATGCAGCTGTTTCGTTTCGTCAACATGATACGAACATTGACTGAATCAATGAGTAATTTCAATAGGGTTTAAGAAAAAAAAACAATTTAGTCGCGATCGTATGAGATGAATCACTTCTGTATATTTTCACTCGTTTCCAAGTTTCATTGAAGAAAAACAAATGAATGGATCTTTGTGAAATATTTTTAATTTTGTAATAGTAAACACATTCATTTTTCATACTTTGTTAATTATTATGAAGCTATTAGTATAGAAAACATCCTAAAATGTTTTTGCTTCTATTGTGTTTTATATCAATTTTTCAGCTCACGAATTAGAAAAAAATTTTCGAAAAACTCTCATATATTATAAAATGCTAATGTATACATGAAAGATTACTGGTTTTTATTAGTAATAATAAAGAAAAAATAATAATAAATTGTATAATTTTAGTCATAATATGACCTCGAAACAAACACGAGTAGGCATGGGTTTGGATGCTCATCGTTTTCTTCCTACGAAAAATGGTTCTTCAAACAAAATTATGTTGTGTGGAGTTGAAGTTCCTGCAACATTTGATATTGACGCCAATTCAGATGGAGATGTAGGACTTCATGCTCTTGTAGATGCCTTACTTGGTTCAGTGGCTGCTGGTGATATTGGCATGCATTTTGCTCCTGACGATAAACAATGGGCAGGAGCCAAGTCAAGTATATTTCTTAAACATGCACTGATGATAGTACATGAGAAAGGCGGCGAATTGGTTAATATTGACATTACGATTATTGCTGAAAAGCTTTACATTACTCCTTATCGACAAATTATGCGTGAAAAGCTCAGCGAATTGTTGGCTCTTGATATCGAACGTGTTAGTGTAAAAGTAACAACAACAGAAAAAATGGGCTTCATTGGACGAGAAGAAGGCATTGTTGCTCAAGCTATTGTTAGTGTTCTTGTTTAACTATATTTAATATAATAAAATAAATCAATATTTACCACAACAATGAAAATATATGTTTGTAATAAGATAGAAAAGGAATGTAAGATTCACTGGAAACCAATACTAGGACATCTGAAAAAAATGTAGTGTCTTGATATGAACTAAACATAATTGTTGATTGTTCTAAATAGAATATGCATATCTATTGGCAAATATTGTCGTTGATGGAACATTTGCAAGGAACATATATGAATTTCTTCTAACACAATTCTACAACATACTAAAATATAACTATACCTAAGTTATCTGCATTATAATTCATTTTTTTCCTTATATTCACATCTTATTCGATTGTAATCACTCAATTGAACAATATGATTATGCACATGAAATATACATTAGAAAAATGAGAGAGTACCATTTGGTAGAAGTGTATACTCTTGATTTAGTCATTAGATACTTTTGGTTGATTTTTGTCAAAGGCATATCATTTCTTTTGAAGAAGTAAAGTTGACATCACTTTCAAGATTCTTCATTCCTAAATCACGTAATAAAATTCACTGTTATCTTTTGAAACAAGAAAAATTATTACATAGTCATATTAATTTTGGCCAGCAGGCGTCCAACAAGATCTCTTGATAGATTGAGTTCCTGATTATCAGATGGCAGCCTGAGTTCTTGAATGGTAACTGCTTTTTTGGCGTATTCAAGTGCTACATTATAATCTTTGCGCTCTTCAAATAGCAAGCCGATCTGAAAGCATGTACGAGCCACATATGGATGATTTGGAGCTAGTAGAGCCTTTCGCATTTTGAGGGCTTACTGATAAGAAACAAGTGCCTTATCGTTACCACCCATCGCACGATGTACTAAACCCAAATTATGATAAGTTTGGGCATGGCGAGGATGATCCACTGGCATTTTCTGCTTGTAAATGGGCAATGCTTTATTGAGCATTTGTAATGCTCGTTCATATTGTTGTTCAAGATAGTAAGCATAACTAAGTCGATTAAAGTGGAATATTGTTTCAGTATTATAGTTTTGTGAAACAAGGTTATAACAAATACTAGCTTGTTCCAGTACACATACTGCTCGTTTTGAATCGTTCAATTTCAAGTAAACAGTACCAAGACTAGCTAATGTCATACCATATTCATAAGTATTGTAAGGCAAACCACGTCGTTGTAATAGTTTAGCACATCGAAAATAATAAATAGCTTGTTGATGTTTACTCAAAAATCGATACATGCGAGCCAATTGATAATGTATATTGGGTCGATCTTCGTGTTCAATAGGTAAAACTCGTAGAAGACGCTGAAAATATTTTATTGCTAGTGAATATTCGCTTAGATAAGCTAGCATACGACAAAATAAAATTGTAGCATTTGTTTTAGAGAGTCGCTCACGTATATGTGAATCAAATTCATGATTTAGTTGTACCACTTGATTTGAAACTGTCATGTGAATATTCCACATATAATTTTGATCATCATAGAAGATAGTCGTAATAATAAACGTAGTGCCAAGATCAAATAGGAATTCCTTCTCGTCTGGTATTTAACTTTCATTACTTATATCAGCAACAACAACATCGTGTGATTGATTTATGTCAATATCGATTTTAAATAGAACGAATTGTTCAGGATTGTTACGATTTCGATTGGTCTGTGTATCGACTCCTTGATCAGAACTTATAAAAGACAACGCAACTTCAGGAAAACGTGACGAAGAAAGAAAGCTATTAGTAGAGACAAGTGCGCCGACATGTAATTGTTCAACTTTATCTCGATGAAGTATTGTGCCACGATAAGCAGAAATAGGTGTTGAATGAGAGTGTCGTCCTTGAGCAAGACTTTCACACAGATCAAAAATAAAATAGCGAAATAGATATAGAGAATGTACATTTTTTGAACGCAATGTTTTGTTAACTAAAGTTGAAAGAAAACATGGTTTGATATACCAACGTATAGTATCGCAGGCTCGATATATTCTTTCAAATTCTATAATCTTCTTCATTTGAAAAAGATTGCCATTATAATATTTTCGGCATTCTCATAACATTTGTCGTTTGCCTTCTAGTGAATTATGGAGGCATGGTCACAAGAAGCACTAAAAAAAATTATCATATAAGTTAATAACAAACTACTAATATATTAATAGATACTAACCTCGAAATGTTTGAGTCCAAACAAACGAGCTTAGTTTTCGTCGTAAATCTCGCAGAGCATTTTCTGGTGAACTGCACATGTTGAATAGACCGCCATCTTTTAAACTATTTTTTGCTTCAATAATATGCTGTTGTAAACTTGTAGATAGTGATTCCCATTCATAGAAACTTTTAATTAGTTTAGTACTAGTTCCACTTGAACACTTACTACCATTATTGTTATGCATTTTATATTGAACATCATCATTATTAGAAGAATAGAGAATAAAAACGGCCTTCCATTGTTCACACTGATCAAGTTGCGAGATCATAGTTTCTATATTATCCTTATCAAATCCATAGAATAGGAGAATTACATATTCTTGTCGAGAGGCTTTTTTAAAATATTTTATACATTGTGATAAGTTTGTATAACGGAAAACGAAGCAGTCATTCAAAAAATTGAGGTATAAATTTTTGTCGTCCGAATATAAATGTGTTAAAGGATTCTCCATTATAATAAGAGAAACATCTCAACCTATGGATAGTATTCGACGTAATTTAGAATTGGAAATATTCTTCAGATTATTCATGTAATCCATGGCTAAATGATGATTCGAATCTGATGAGTTTATTTTAACAGGTCATTGCATTAATTTTAGACAGAATCAGCTTTTTTTGATTTTATATAGAGTTCAAAAAAATGTTTTACTTACATTATTATATGAAGCTACCATTATAAAGTATCGGAAGAAATCGACGAAATTCTTCTAATTACTCTCCAATTAGTCTCGAAAGAATAAATATCAAAGTAGCTACTAGTAATGCTGTAAGGCTTCCGTAATCTTATCATAAATTCAGGATTAAATATGTGCTTTAGATACCTATAAACAAAGATACATTCCAAGTTTTCCATGTTCATTTGAATATTTACAAATGATCTATAATCAAAAATTAATCAATGAAAATTTTCATACATAGTATTGTCTTTGTATCCAAAAAATATAGATAACCTAAGTTTTGGTTTCGATACAAAATCTATATTCTGCAAATATTTGAAATCCGCTATTCATCATTGTCTATGGCATTTATGTGCATAATTCATTTTTGGCAAATATTTACGATTCATTATAGAATAATGTGCTTATAAATATTATCTCGTTTTTTTTTTGAAGTTTAACTTTTCAGTGTATTTTTGTACATCTAAATGATCAGTTTTGTTAAAATCTTCTTCATTGGAGTCACCAAAAACAATGATTGACTATTTTATGCATATTGTCTGTACTCGAAAAACGTTCGAAGTTTTACAGAAATGACAATGAGTTATAGATCCATAAAATCATCTAATTAATGACAATTCAGATGAACATCTGTAGAAAAAGTAATTATCTCATCAAATATTCAATTTTTAACTTTGTGCGAAATTCGCATGCCTTTTAGAGTAATAAATAAAACGAAAAGAATCGTCATGTGCATCATTGGTATCAGGAAAAAAATAGGTTAGAGTATATCTAAATTCCAAATGAATTAAAGGTGTACCGTAACTAAAATATAAAAGTAATTATTTTCAGAGAAAATGATTTTTTTCGAAACGTTTACCTAGAACAAAGACAATTAAAAAGAATATGGTACTATAATGATATAACAGTTTCTTATACTCCTTTTATATAAATCATATACGTAAATAGGAAGTGCAGTACGAAAAAAATGATATTTATTCACTCTACTTCCATTCAAACCCGCTTTCTGATGTTATTTTGACACTATTCTACGACGTTAGCATGAGAAAAAAAATATACGCAGTTCTGATGTGTGCTGATAGGCAAGAGCAGAAATGAATAATATATCAACACTGAACAAATATGTTAGCAGTCAATCCATTAATATCGGTTCTGACACACAGGTTGAAATATAGACTTCTCAATGCCATTATCAACGATTGCCGTACATTATTTAGTTCTGATCTTCTTTGACCTATGCCCTGTGAAGTAGAAGGTCTAGGGGTCTCCTTTAGTAATTGAAAATTATTCAGTCAGTATGCATTTCGTGAAAATTCGACAAACTTCATTTCTGTGATCGTTCAATTTGGTGATGTGATTATCGGCAATATTTATTTCCAGCGATCTTCATACGCTATGAGATCCTATCTCTCCCCAATATTAGAACCTTCACGCAAGATCTGTTTCGTTTCATTGCGAAAGAAATTTAAATTATTTGATTTACGAAGTATAATATATAGTATATTGTTTTTTAGTTGTTTTTAGTTTAAACGCAAGAGAAATCACAAATCTTTTCAACAAAAAGTTGAGTGCTTTCAAAAGCGATTAATTTCAATAGATTGATGACAACATTTAATGGGTAATGTGAAAGTTTTTGGATAGGGTATTAGTTCATTTTTTGTACTCACTTAAAATTGCTCTAGATTGATGAAACAGTATGAGTTAAAACTAGACTTTTGTGCCTTTTTCGAATATGTAATCGGAAATAGAAGTAGTATTTTATTTTTAATGTAGCAAATAAAGTAAAATATTGTAATTAAAACATTATTTTGTCAATATCTCAGATCAACATCAAGCGTTAATAACACTACAACATATCAAAGTTATTTCAATGCAATTTCATCATCAAATAAGAGAGCAAATACAGTGAAAAAAAATTGAAGAATATTGTTATATCAACTTTTATTTTCCTTTTTTTAAAGTAAAATACATATAAACTCGTTTGATAATGATAATGCACATATTTATCAAATGTTTTTATTTTTATTTATTAAAAACTTTGTTTTTTTTTCTAAAATATTTCATACTATGAAATTTTATATAAGTAGTCGAAAAGCTAGGAAGTAAATATCTTGTCGAATTGAAACCCAGCTTGCACAATAGTATATAAACATTTATTGGCATGAATTTTATGCTCAATGGCGTAAGATGCTGAAATTAAAAAACTACGGTTCAAAAATTCATTGACTGAAGTAAACTAAGTTCCTAGAAAAGTATGAGTGCTGTGATTTGTGATGTAACTAATTCAAAATGAAAGTAAATGCTACTCAGATACAACACACGAATAACCAGAACAAAGATAATCTTATATATGACCCTTACAAATCGACAGCGGCTTTTTTGACGATAAGAAAAAATAGACCGCTAAAATAGAGATTCTAGACCTTGTAAACTCAACCAAATGTCGAGAAATCAATCCTATGAAGCACAAAAGAAACATCTCATGATTTCGCTAGTGGTCTCAGATCGCCGACGATTCGTTATAGACAAAACGAAATGTTTGGATAATCAGACACTTTTGCCTATTGAGAGGGTGTACAGTTATCCTCTGATCATACCTCATAATAGTTCTAAGAAAAATTTAAAGTAACCAAGTATTTGCCCACATAGTATTTCAAATAGTTCTTCCAGTATTCATGGGTTGATAGAATATTTTAAGTCGTTCTGACAGAATGTTCTTTCCAAAGGACATTTTCTTAATGTTGTCGCAATGAGCCAGTAGGTCGTTTGAAAAATAATCAAAGGGTTTCATCAGATAGATCAAACAAAATTATTATGAATAAACAAAGTTTTCAGAGTAAAAAAACATGGGTTTTAAAAAATGATGGATTTTAAATACTCTGCTATGTCGTCTGACAGGCACGAAAGAGGAATTTAGTTTTTACTTTATGATTTATGAGACCATCTTAATCAGGAAATATACTGATTTTTGCATAATAAGTTTTATTAGATCTGCAATAGCAATTACTGCAATGTCCTTTAGAAAGGACATTCGGCTTTTATGAGTTAAAATATTCAATGTAATTATCAGATGAGTGTGATACTTTGAACTAGTCAATGTTTTCAAACTCTACTGAAAATAACTGACTTTTTGCTTATTTGAATATAGTCTTGATCTCTTGTAACATAACTCAAACTTGTAGATTATTGTTAAATCAATATTGAAGATAGATCATAAACCTACCTATTAAGCATTTTTCTTTTAATGCAATAACAATTATGAAGACATTTTTTTTTAGATTATTTATTGATCATGAATAAACAAAAGCAAATGACTGACATATAGACAAAATACTAAAAAATAAAAAAAAATGAATTCTTTTAATATATTTTCTTTCAAAATTAATTTGACTGTGATTGTTGTTGTTGTTGTTGTTGATATAAAAATTGATGAATATCTTGAAATGTTGGTCTTTCATGATGATTAATTCTTAAACAAACAAACATTAAATCAATTATTTCATTTAATTGTATTCTATCAATAAATGTTATATCTAAATCTGTTGATAATGGTGGTGTTAAAAGAATATCTTGATCCGATAAATGTGCAAATGGAAGTATTCGACATGTTATCATTATTTCATATAATGTTATACCAAAACTATAAACATCAGATTTTATTGAATAACTATTTCCACCATTCTATTATAAAAAAATATAAAAATAAATATTAGAAAAAATATAGACAAAAAAACAACTAACTATTAAGATTTCTGGTGACATCCATCGAACAGGTAAATGTGCATCAGTTGAATAATAATTTGAATAAATAGGTGAAGCCATAGCAATATCAGTTAATTTAATAATATAATCATTAAATACTAAACAATTTCTTGTTGATACATCACGATGTATTAATTGTCGAGATTCAAGATAACTTAATGCACCTGATATTTGACATGTTACAAATAACATTGCTTGATAACTAAAATAATAGTTGAAAAATAGAAATAATAATAATAATAATAATAACAAATTTTTCTTTTATTATTTTTAATTAAATACATACTCAAGTCGAGCATTAACATCATTTTCAACAATACGTCTCATTAATAAACATAAATCTCCAAGTTCAGTATATTCTGATACAAGTGCAAGACCATCAAGTGTTTTATAAAGAATATTGGCTAAATTAGGATGATCAATTGAACATAATAATTGACTTTCTTGAGCAAATAACGATCGAGACATTGTTGAAACTTTAGTTAAACGTCGAATAATAACACGATTATATGAATGTACATTACCAATTGAAATCTATATACAAAAAAAAAAAAAAAAAAACAATTTTCTCTCTTTTGTTTTATATTATAAATCATCTTACTTGTCCAAATCTACCTTCACCATAAAGATCTCCTGGTGGTACAATTTCACTTGATATTAATTCAACTTTTCTTGGAGGTACAATCATTTGTGGTATATTTGTTATAGATCGTATCATTAAACTTGTTCCGCATACACCACGTAATGTTGATGATAAATCATTCGTTCCATTATTAACACTAATTATATCTGTTGAAGCATAAAAATTTGCTTCACTATCAATAACATTC